CCCCCCCGTGCAGAGATGGTTTCCTCCACTTCTCAAAATTGGGGAAGAAGCTCCGGGATGAAAGAGTTGATTATCTCGTGGAAAAAGCTGGGAGATGGGGTAAGAATCATGGGTGAGATGATTAGATGGAATAAGAAATGAAGGGACGCAGAGCACAAAAAGGCCTGGCACCCCCCTTCCCAACTACATTTTCACCTTTACAACAATTTATAATGTCTCGCCCCTTTTTTGCTAGATTTACCAAATCTGATCACCTCTCTCTCATCCACCTTTATTTTCTAGGTTCTTAAAGACGGCAACAAGCGATTGCATCGATCGAGATGACAGTTTCGTCAATCTCGTTGTCAGCGAAATAAATGATTTGGAATCACGTGTCTTGAGACGTAATGAACAGCTGCATCGTAGAGAAAAATTTGGTCTCCCATTTTAATAGCTGCAAGGCAGTTTTGCGGTGAAGTGTGATTTCACAGAAGCAGTAGATTTATAGATATTTCCTATCAAGTTAGAGTAAATTTTCACATGAAGTTGATATGTTTCAAAATGGTACTTTGCATGTTGGTGGAAGTGATACGTCAGTCATCGGATCCACGGACTTTGATGAATTGTGAATTTTGTCTCTCTGATTCTGTATATGGGTACAGTTTGGTTTTTTTTCGTTCGCTGAGTTTGACTACAGTGATTTTGTTTCGTTGCTAGTAGCGTACCATTGTTGAAGCTGTTATCGCTTTCATTCCTTGTAAGTTTCTGTAAGTATCTGATTTGTTTGAAACTTGTTTTCAATCATGAATTCAAGAAGTTTTGTGTAGCTAATTTGCTTTTTTCTTTTACTTCGCAGTTTGAACTGCGAGCAATTCAACAAACCAATGAGTTTTTATGGTTTGCTGAGCGCGCCTGCGGCGTAATGACCATGCATTTATTATAGTCATCTCGACGAAGACCATTCACAATTGAAAGATTCAAAATTTCTAGCAAATTGTGAAGCGGCATGCAGACGAAATGATTTTACAAAAGTTTAATCACATCCACAGAATAGAAAGTGCCTAGGAACATAGGTAATTTCAAAACAATGATTCCAGCGTCAATGCAGCAAATAATGAGTTGCGCTCCAAGAAGGGAGGCCACTTGATAACAAAAGACAAGCATAATTGCTTTGGACGAAGTTGGTTCAAATTGCGTTTTCTAATTGGCTATAATGCACCTTTCTTCAGTACCAGTCATCTTTCTCAAAACATGCAACGCCATTCATACCATAAGAAAAAACTGTTACTCATAGAAAAAAAAGAATTAAATTGTAATCAATGACATTTTACCTTTATGTAGCGATATTCGTAGTGAAAGCTACTAGGAGACAGTGGTTTGTTTTGAAGGCACAGTTCACGTCAATAATGGTTTCTGAAAATTCTCTCTAGCTTGGGCTTGTGACCTCAAGGATAGCCTAAGAGACGCTGTCAGGTCAAAAAAAGACAGCCAAATAGGGTGTAATAGGGGTCCGAAACCAGACTCAGCCGACGCACACACCCAAGGCGGACGAGTTGTCAAGTATTATGAAAGCTAAGAAGGTTGCATCATTCGCAGTGAGACGCACACCTTGCACACGGGCAGCACACTGCAGCCAGCTGTATGCAATGTCGCGCGCGTTCGAACCGCTCGTCTAAATCCCTTCCATGCAACTTCTGCGTCACATCCTCTTCCAACCGCTGATTTTACTTTTTTTAGAAGCCATTTATTTTTCCAAATACCCACATTTTGACGTTTCCTTCTCAATTTTTGCACTAATCTGGATTATTACTTCCATCGCTCGTTTAAAATTAGATAACTCAAAATTAGCGTGAACTAAGCCTCTAA